CACCAAATTTAATCTTAAATCTATTTAATGAAAGATCAAAGCTTTCCTTTGGGCAAATGGATCTAATTTAACCCAATGGCAGAGTCTTTAACCCAATGGTTTTGCATGCTTTAAAGTGTCTCACTTCCTTCTTTTAGGTTTCTTTTGGATATTTTTTGAAAAGAGATAAATATACCCAAACTGGAAAAAAAAAAAAGGTATCCTTCCTACCCCTGGCAGATTATCTGAAAAAGGACTTGTATCCAGAATATATCCAAATGACAAAAAGTTAAATAATCCAAATTTAAAATGGACAAAGGTGTGAACAAACATTTTAACAAAAGAGTCTTATTGGGTCAGTTGTGTAATCCCAGCATTTTAGGAACCAAGGCAGGACGCTTTCTTGAGGTCAGGAGTTTGAGACCAGCTTGGGCAATATAGCCAGACCCTGTCTCTAAAAAACAGAAATAAAATTAGCTGGTTGTAATGGGACATGGCTCTAGTCCCAGCTACTTGGGAGGCTGAGGCAAGAGGATCACATGAGCCCAAGAGTTTGAGGTTACAGTGAGCTATTAATCAGGCCACTGCACTCTAACCTGAGTAATAGAGGGAAAACTTGTCTCTTAAAAAAAGGAGGCTGGGGCAGCACCTGTGGCTCAAAGAAGTAGGCTGCTGGCCCCATATATTGGAGGTGGTGGGTTCAAACCCCAGCCCCAGCCAAAAACTGCAAAAGAAAAAAGAAAAAGGAGGCCAGGTGCAGTGGCTCACACCTATAATCCTAGCACTCTGGGAGGCCAACGTAGGTGGATCCCTTGAGCTCAGGAGTTTGAAACCAGTCTGAGCAAGAGTAAGGCCTTATCTCTATTAAAAACAGAAAAACTAGCCAGGTGTTGTGGTGGGCACTTGTAATCCCAGCTACTCAGGAGGCTGAGGCAATAGGATCGCTTGAGCCCAAGAGTTTGAGGTTGCTGTGAGCTATGATGCCATCACAGTCTACCCAGGGCAACCAAGTTGAGATTCTATTTCAAAAAAACAAAAATTGCTGACTTGTATATTTAAAAATGATGAATTTTGATTACATCAAAGTGAAAAGCTTCTGCACAGCAAAAGAAACAGTCAACAAAGTGAAGCGACAACCCACCAAATGGGAGAAAATATTTGCAAACTACCCATCTGACAAGAGAGTAATAACCAGAATATATCTGTATAAGGAACTCAGACAGCTCAACAGGAAAAAATAATCTGATTAAAAATGGTTACAAGATGTGAATAGATATTTCTCAAAAGAAGACATACAAATGTCCAATACATATATGAAAAATGCTCAATACTACTAATAACCAGAGAAATACAAATTAAAATCATAATGAGATATTATCTCACCTCAGTTAAAATGACTTTTATTCAAAAGACAGGCAATAACAAATACTAGCAAGGATGTGGAGAAAGGGGAACCCTGGCATGCTGTTGTGGGAATATAAATTAGTACAGCCACTATGGAGAACAGTGTGGAGGCTCTTCAAAAAACTAACAATAGAGGGTGGTGCCTGTAGCTCAGTGGGTAGGGCTCCAGCCCCATATACTGAGGGTGGCGGTTCAAATCCAGCCCCAGTCAAACTGCAACAAAAAGTGGCTGGACATTGTGGCAGGTGCCTATGGTCCCAGCTACTCGGGAGGCTAAGGCAAGAGAATTGCCTAAGCCCAAGAGTTGGAGGTTGCTGTGAGCTGTGATGCCACAGCTCTAATGAGGACAATAAAGTGAGACTCTGTCTCTTAACCCCCCCCCCAAAAAAAACCCCACTGAAAATAGAACTACCATATAATTCTCACTGCTGGGTATATATTCTAAAGAAAGGAAATCAATATATTAAAAAGATATCTATACTTCTGTGTGTATTGTGACACTATTCATTATGGAATCAACGTAAATGTCCATCAGTAGATGATGGATAAAGAAAATACAGTACATACGATGGAATATTATTCAGCACTGGAATAATAATATGGAATTATTATGGGTGGGTGCAGTGGCTTATGCCTGTAATCCTAGCACTATGGGAGACCAAGGCAGGTGGATTGCCTGAGCTCACAAGTTCAAGACCAGCCTGAGCCAGAGCGAGACCTTGTCACTAAAAAAAGGGCATACTTTGTATCAATAAGGGAAGCAGAACTAGTAAGAGATTATGTGTATATATATATTTTTGATAAGTTTCATGAAATATATATGTCCATGTATATTTCATGAAACGTGTGTATGCATTTATTATATGCATTTATTATAAGGATTTGGCTTAAGCAGTTGTGGAGGCTCATGAAACAACTGTAAGGTCTGCCAGGCTATATGTGTCAGGGAAGATCCAGAGAGGGGAGAGCAATTATAGACCCAGCTTCTATTTGGAGTCTAACTCAGGGCATGCCTAAACCTTTTTAAAAGGATTTCCACTGACTGAGTCAGGCCCATTCGGGACAGTCTTCCTAGATTGATGTCAGTTAGGTTTAGATTATATCTGCAAAATCTCTTTATAGAAGCACTAGATTAGTATTTGCATAACTGGGAGAACATAAGTGTATCAAACAAAAGATTGCTGCCTTCTCTTTAGTTTTTGTAGTTTAGCCTAACCAAATTTACATTTAAAAAAACCCATCATATATTGATGTATTTTGTCTTCTACAGAAAGACAGTTGGCTTTTACAACTACCAGGAAGTTTTATTTATTTCACTTAAATGACATTTTGAGAGCACCTACTGTGTGCCAGATACAATAGTGGCTGTACTCTCTTTTTAATTTTTGTAGAGATGGGGGGTGGGGGGGAGTCTTGCTGTGTTTTCCAGGCTAGTCTTGAACTCCTGGTCTCAAGCAGTCCTCCCACCTTGGCCTCCCAAAGTGCTGGGATTACAGGCATTAGCCACTGTGCCTGGCCTGTACTCTCATTAAAACAAAATTCTTTCCATGGTGACTGGCATGTAAAGAATTTACTGACACTCAAACATTTGTTGAATGAATATTTTGTTAATACACCAGTAGGATTTATTCAAACATCGCCCTTCCCGATTTTACTTAAGCACATAGTATTCATATAGGCTAATATCATTTAGCTTCAATATGCGGCTTAGCAGCTTCAAATAGCAAAATTGCACATTTCTGTCTTCCTGCATACTCACAAAGTTCACACACCTTAATCTGTTCGATTTTGCCAAGGATTTCCTGAAGGTACTGTATAAACAAATAGCAAATGTAGAAACAAGATGTATTGATGATTAGTTACAATATTTACAGTAAGTCACTAGGGGACCCTTGAAGATTTGATTTTTTTCTGAGAGTTTTCTCCTTAGTCTTTTTTCCAATGGTTCCAAGTTTCCAGGCTTGCAGATTTCCTGATTTCCTAGTCTCCTTTCCAGAGAAGGCAGTTAGATAAAAAAATCTCACCCACATTCCATTTACTGGAGTAATGAATTATTGTGAGAGGTAATCCTAATGTGTAGCAACTCCCCAACTACCACCTCTCCGGGCAACCTTCATCAAGCCTTCCAGCTGGGACCCACAACAGTTGCCCTGGCAACTTTGTTTCTACCGGGTAGCTGACCGTCCTTCTCCAGCTGCTCACTTGGGAGCCAGGGGCAGTTCAGAAGGTTTCACCCCTCTTTATCCTTTCTTCCCCCAGAGAAGGAGCTCTGAATGTTTCACTCTCTGCCTGACCAGGAAGTAGTGAGAAACAATAATACAGGTACTTGTTCTTTACTTTTCTGTCTCCTTCCCAAGGCAGGTATCTCAATTTGGGTGTCGATAGAAATACTCTCTTTTAAGTCAGAAATCTCCAAATCCTGTAGGAATTCCCAGCAAATGTAGTTGCTAACATAGTTAATTTGTAGAGCTCTTTCTTTCTTTCTTTCTTTCTTTCTTTCTTTCTTTCTTTCTTTCTTTCTTTCTTTCTTTCTTTCTTTTCTTGTAGAGACAGAGTCTCACTTTATCACCCTCGGTAGAGTGCCATGGCGTCACACAGCTCACAGCAACCTCCAACTCCTGGGCTTAGGCGATTCTCTTGCCTCAGCCTCCAGAGGAGCTGGGACTACAGGTGCCTGCCACAACGCACAGCTATTTTTTGTTGTAGTTTGGCTGGGGCCGGGTTTGAACCTGCCACCCTCAGTAAATGGGGCCGTAACCCTATCCACTGAGCCACAGGCACTGCCCTTGTAGAGCATTTTCATGACATTTTTAGATTTGCTGTGTATAGATGCCCACTTTTGCTTGATCATAGCATCACTTTCTAGGAAAGTAGCAAGGCTAAGATATGATGTTGATGTTTAAGAGTATTAATGATGTTAAGTATCAACTTTTAGGGGAAGGATTTTGTTGCTGTGTCGTTTGCATCTAGGGAGAAATTTGAACTTAGAATTTTAGAGCTGTATAATGATATTTAGAGAGCATCTAATTTGGTTCTTAATTTCATCCATTAGGGAAATAGAAGCCCTAAAGTGGAGTGACTGGCTCATTTCTTTATAGCAAGTGAGTTGTAGAGCTCTCACAGGATTTCCCGCTCACTTACCTCAACTGCCATTCTTTAGACTAAGGACATCCTTGGGAGGAAGGTCTAAAAGAGTTTATAGAATTTTATTTTATTTTTTTTAAATTAATTAATTAATTTTTTTTTATTGAATAGTAACTGTGTACATTAATGCACTTCTGGGGTAAAGTGTGGGGTTTTCACAAACGATCCGAAACACTTCCATCAATCTGGTTAACATAGCCTTCACGTAATTCTCTTAGTTATTGTGTTAAAACATTCATATTCTACTCATAGAAAGATTCACTTGTACTCTTGTAAGATGAACCACAGAAGTGAACCCTCAAATCCCCCTCCCTCTACCCATTCCTCCCTCCCTCCCCCTTTCCCCTATCCTTAAGTTGTTATTAGGTTATAGCTTAGAATTTTATTTTTGGTGTTGTTATGTAAGATACGTTATGAATATATTGAGGCTTGCTTTTACAATAATGGCTTTATGAACTGTTTAGGTGACCAAGATGTCAAATCCAGACAAAGCTGCCATCGCAGCACAAAAGGAGGCTCTGAACTTGAAGTTACCTCGCATTGTGCGTCCCCCAGAAAACATAGGTGTTGGAACACCAGTACAAAGTAAATTGCTAACCTACAGAAGATCCAAGGAGCAGCAGAAGAAAATTAATCAGTTAGTGTAAGTGGCATATTAGTAAATAATTCTTGTTTAGAATTGCAGTGAAGTGATTAGTGTTCATATACCCGTAAATAAGTTTTAGCTATGTAGATTGTTCATGAGCAAAATACTGTCTTCAAGCTTAACCCAAAAAACAATTGAAAAGTAATGATAATGATAGCAAATATTATATACTGCTCACTCTGTCAGTCATGGTTCTTATCAGTTTACCTGTACTTATCAGAACAACCCTATGAGGTAGGTATTATACATTTATTTATTTATTTATTTATTTATTTTGAGACAGTTTCACTCCGTCACCCTGAGTAGAGTGCTGTGCCATCACAGCTCACAGCAACTTCAAACTCTTGGGTTCCAGAGATCCTCTTGCACTGGGTGCAGTGTCTCATGCTTGTAACCCTAGCAGTCTGGGAGGCCAAGGCAGGTTGATTGCTTGAGCTCAGGAGTTCAAGACCAGCCTGATGAAGAGTGAGACCCTGTCTCTTACTCAGGCTGTACTCGAACTCCTGAGCTCAGGCAGTTGACCATTCTGGCCTGTACTATACTTTTAAAAACATGTTTCAGGCTCAGCGCCTGTGGCTCAAGTGGCTAAGGCGCCAGCCACATACACCTAAGGTGGCGGGTTCAAATCCAGCCCGGGCCCACCAAACAATAATGATGGCTGCAACCAAAAAATAGCCAGGCATTGTGGCGGGCGCCTGTGGTCCCAGCTACTTGGGAGGCGGAAGCAAGAGAATCGCTTAAGCCCAGGAGTTGGAGGTTGCTGTGAGCTGTGATGCCATGGCACTCTACCCAGGGGGACAGCTTGAGGCTCTGTCTCAAAAAAATAAATAAATAAAATAAAAACATGTTTCATAGAAAACTAAAGGAAAGTACTGTTATTATCTCTATTTTTTAGATGAATAAAGTGAGATACAGAGAACTTAAGGTACTTGCTCGATATCACACAGCTGGAGTTTGGACCCATTTGGTCTGGTCCAAAGTTCAAATACTTTAAGCCTCACACTATTGCTTCTCTCAATATACTGGGTAGACATAAATTCATGTGCAGTTTAACCCTGTGTTATAATTTTACTGGTCCCTAAAAGTAAAACTAAGTAATTGGGCCTCTACAAATAGCATTGTGGGCTATGCATGGTGGCTCATGCCTGTAATCCCAGCCTGAGCAAAAGTGAGATCCTATCTCTTAAAAAAAATAGCTGGATGTTGTGATGGGCACCTGTATTCCCAGTTACTTGGGAGGCTGAGGCAAGAGAATTGCTTAAGCCCAGGAGTTTGAGGTTGCTGTGAGCTATGATGTCACAGCACTCTACCAAGGGTGACAAAGTGAGACTTTGTCAAAAAACAAAAACAAAACAAAACCAAAAAAATAACAACAACAAAACAAATAGTATTGTATTTGAATGAATACTTAATAAAATATCTTAAAAATACTTGTATTTAAATTTTTTCTATACTAAAGAGAACACATAACTCAACATTCCTCTCTCCTTTCTCCCTGCCATTTGTTTAGTAGAAACTAAAACTAATTTAGGTATCAGCTATGAAAGGCTATGATAAGGGTAGTTCAGTTCCTTTGGACTCTTACTGAGACTTTCTCAGGCAACTGACTCTCCTGGGCTCTGGGAATAAATAATAATAATAAGATGGTTCCATGCCAGTAGCTCAGTGGTTAGGGTGCTGGCCACATACACCAGGGCTGGCAGGTTTAAACCTGGCCCAGGCCTGCTAAACAACAATGACAACTGCAACAAAAAAATAGCCAGGTGTTGTGGTGGGTGTGTAGTCCCAGCTACTTGGGAGGCTGAGTTTTAGGTTGCTGTGACGCCATGGAAGGTGACATAGTATTGCTAATTTCACATTACTTACAATTAAACAGGTCTATTAATCATATAACTTCTTTATATTGACATTTTTATTAGTCTATCAATCATTTACTCACATTTAAGTCTAAATTTATTAATATAAGAGATGTACTGATAGAGATCCTTTATGCCCTTTATTCTTTTTTTTTCTAAGCTCCAGCTCTTGGGTTTAGGCGATTCTTTTGCCTCAGCTTCCCAAGTAGCCGGGACTACAGGCACCTGCCACAATGCCTGGCTATTTTTTGTTGCAGTTTGGCTGGGGCTGGGTTTGAACCCGCCACCCTCAGTAAATGGGGCCGGTGCCCTACTCACAGAGCACAGGCACCATCCTACACCCTTTATTCTTAAGATTTGGTGTTTCTTTTCTTTCTTTCTTTCTTTTTTTTTTTTTTTTTGAGACAGAATCTCTTTTTGTCACCCTTGGTAGATTGCTGTAGTATCATAGCTCACAGAAACCTTAAACTCTGGGCTCAAGTGATTCTTTTGTTTCAGTCTCCCAAGTAACTGGGACTATAGGTGCCTGCCATAACACCTGGCTCATTTTTTAGAGATGGGGTCTTACTCTAGCTTAGGCTGGTCTCGAACTTGTGAGCTCAAGCAATCCAGCTGCTTTGGCATCCCAGAGTGCTGGGATTACAGGTGTGAGCTACCATTCCTGGCCTGAGCACATTAGCTTATGACTACAATCCCAGTGCTTTGGGAAGCCAAGGCAGGAAGAACATGGGAAGACCCTATCTCTACAAAAAAAAAAAATATTAGTTGGGCATGATGGCACATACCTGTAGTCCTAGCTACTTGGGAGCTTGAACCAGAAAAGATTGCTTGGGACTCAAAGTTGGAGACTGTGATCATGCCACTGTCTCAAAAAACATTTTAAAAAAATAAGAATAATAGATAATTTCCATAGAACTCCCTTCTCTACTGTCTAAGTCTACTGAAACATTGAGCAATCTTTTCTGGTTCAACCTGAAATGCCTCTGTCATTTTAATAAACATGAGAAAAGCACTCTAGCAAAGGGGATAGCAAATGGGAAAGCCCTGTAATATGAATTCTTTTAGTGCATTCTGGGACTTAATAAAGCCCAATGTCACTCTAGTATAATGAACCTAAGGAATAGTGTCAGGTGAAGATGGAGAAGAAAGTGGGAAATGATTGTATCAGGCCTTGTAGGCCATGATAAGAAATGATTTTTATTTTAAGTGCAGTGGAAGCTGTTGAAGTCTTTTAAATAGGAAGTGACGTGAAATCTGACTTATATTTAAAAGATATCACCGTGGTTGTTAAGAATAGACTAAGGTAGCATTTTGATTAATACCTCACATTATAATTGTGAAACAGTCATTACATATAGGCCTGATGTAATGGGATTTTCCTTTCTGGAAGAATGACCATGTAATTCCCACATTCAGCACAAAGTTTTTTTTTTGTTTGTTTGTTTTTTGCACAGTTTTTGGCCGGGACTGGGTTTGAACCTGCCACCTCCGGCATATGGGGCCAGCGCTCTACTCCTTTGAGCCACAGGTGCTACCCTGAACACAAAGTTTTATGAAACCTGGATCATTGTATGATGCCTGATGTCAAAATCCTTTTGTGCATTTTTGTTTTCAGTGTTTGGAGTTTGTTTTCCCTTCTTAGTACTCACAATAAGATGATTCTTTTATGACATAAAATTAGGTCAAAGTAGGAGCTACAAAAAAAAAAAAAGAATGGACTGAGGTAGAGGGAAAGAAGGTAAGAGTAGAGGGAAACAAAGAGATTAGATGTGATGCTGTTATGGTAGCATAGGTGAAAACTGATTGTGGTTTAGTTAAGGCTGGAGACAGTGGAGTGGGGAAGACGTAGATTTACAAAAGATATGTTTTGGAGCCAGAGTCAATAGAACTTGCTATTAGATTGGCTTTGGTAGCTAGGTGGATAGTAGTCTCATTTATAAAGAATTTGAAGTCCAGAGATGGGATAAAAAGGAATGGTTGTTTTTTGGAGTTGAAATGCCTATGTAACATTTAAGGGGAAATATATTCACTGGAAGTTGGATATATAAGAGAAGAAGTCTAGACTGGATATATAAATTTGGAAGTCACTGCATGTCGATGGTTTTTAAAGCTATGAGGAGTAGTTAAAATCAGAGAGAGAGAGATACTTGAGAAAAGTAAAGGCCTAGTGCTAATGTCTTAGGAAATGTTAAAGTTAAATGTTGTGTGGAGAAGGGTCAACATGCAAATAGACTAAGTATGACCTATAAAACAGGAGGAAAAGCAGAACAGCATTAAGTCATAAGCAGAGAGAGCAGAATGTGTTATACACAATGTATTGTCATTTGTTTTCTTAGTTGTCTTTTTTCTTTATTTTGACATGCTTAGGAGAGAGATTGCAGTGTCTGGCATATTATTGTTGGTGAATGAATTAGTGAATAAGTGATTTTTTAAGGAAGAACTTTACCTGTACTTGATACAGATTTGTAAGTAGTACCACTTTCATTACCTGAAGCATAGTGCTATATTAATACTGAGATTAGAGCTGCTGTATTTTTATTTCAGAAAAATATATTTGGAATTAAAAGCTTTTATAGTGGAGATACATCTTTTTGGATGGCCGTGGTCTTTGATATTTTGCATCCCCTTAATACCTCTACCTTTTAGGAAATATGGAGTCAGACTTCTCTGTTTCAAAGGTGAGGTGAGATCTGTGGATAGAGAGAGTTCCAGGATGAGGTAGAACGTAAGGAGTTGTGGGCAGAATTGGGCTCCCTGCTAGGACTAGTGCTTGGGAATGCTTGGCTGAACCAACATCATTTTGTGGCTTTCCAGTGTCCCAGGAATGAGCCTGATTTTATTCCTTAACAATTATCCCCACTGTTGACTCAAGCCAGTGATTTACTGAATGCAGTTTTTGCATAAAATTTTGAAATTATCTAGTTTTTTATTTGTTTTTAACTCTTAACATACAAAGCAAAAGCAGGGAGTGAAAAGGCTCACACGTATGTTCTTCTCAGCTCTTTTTATTTATGGCCTGAAGGAGAAAACACATTCCAGAAATGCTTACTATATTTAAGGGTAGCATTTATTTATAAAGAGCTCAAGGAAGTTAGACATATTTATATTGGGATAATTATAGTACAAGCCTGCTTATGACTA